CTGTGTAAGTCGCCGACGGGGCTCGAAGGAAGCCGCCCTCTTCGTAGCACTGGGGCTCTCGAACTTCGAGCTCGAACAGAAGCGAGTTGGCAGCCCCCTTCAGTGCCGCTCCCCGTCGCTCGGCATACTCCATAGCCGCCCCTTCTAGCTGACCCGCAAGCCTTAACTTCTCGCCTTCGATAACCCAGAGATGCTCGGTTGCATCATGGAGGGCGGCTAGAGGCGATTGCGACGAGCGGCCCGTCGGCCGGTTCGCGCTCGGCTCAAAGCAGAGGAAGTTCGTGGCGTAGATGTCCCGGACAAGCGGCCGCAGCGTTGCTGGAAAGGCGTATTGTCCGCCGGCAATTGGATGGAGGCGAAGGACGGCCGCCAGCATGGGGCCGTCATCGGAGAGGTACGCCAGCCCACGCTCGTCGAACGGCCCCTCCAGCAAGACGTGTCTCAGCAGCTTCAAGGTGACCACGTGCCCAAATACCCAAGAGTACCTGGGAATGAGAAGAGCGTGCAGGAGGGCTCCGTACGGCTGAAAGTGGGTCGGGCACCAGCCGGTCGGCCCTACCGGCCCATCCTTCAAAAATCCCTGCATCCAGGGCCGCCTCGGGACCCCCTGGCAAACGGCACACGTGGCCGGGTCGGCGCAAGCCCCCGACTCGGTCACGAGGTCGACTAGAGCAGCAACGTTGGCCGGAAGGCCTTCCCGCATGGCTACGAACTCCTCGGGTGTCAGAGGCGCGTTGCTCCCTTGGGCCGGGGCCTTGCGAAAGTTGCACCAGCGAAGTGTTAGCGCCCGCACGGCCGGTCGAAGCTCCGAGAGGCCGTTCCGATACTTCCACGGGCAGTCGATTCCCTCCAGCGGCATGTCAGATGGCCGCACCCCGCCCACGCTCAACGGAGTAAAGCCCCCGGCAACCCTTGGCGCCCCCGGGTCCGGCTCGCAGATGCTGTGCAGGGACGCCTCGGTGCCGGAATCACGCATCGCGCTCGAGTTGGCAAAGAAGGTTCCGTCGAAGGTTATCACCTTGTCCCGCCCAAAGGCATACGTGGCCAACTCGGAGCTTGGCCCCTCTGTTCGTTCCGGCCTCAGGGGGTTGCCAGCCGCCCGAGCCTCCGCCTCGGCCGCCTCCACCTCCAACGTGTAGAGATGTGCGCAAGCAGCGCGCGAGCACACGTGTTGTATCCTCGAGCGTGCGGCCAGGTCGTTGAAGGCTTGCATGGCCGAGTCGAACACCCGGTCGTGAAGCCTAGGAGCGTCCGGCCCCTCGAGGCTCCTCGTCGCCATGTCACCGGCCTCGAAGTTGAGGCTGTGGGCTGCCCCCAGGGCCGCTGCAAAGTGGTTGCGGAGCAGAAGGCCGTGGGAGAAGAGATTGCTCCCGGAAAAATTGAAGATGCCGTCCTCCTGTAAGCAAGTAGCAGTTGAGAAGGTTAATCACTGTTGCGTTTGAGTTGATCTCCTTCATTCAAAGGCTATTGCAAAAGGTGATTATCGGCATGAACGCAAATGCACAATTTGGGTTGGTGCTAAGCATCATTGGTGAAAATGGAAAGCTCGATCTTGAAGACCTCTCAAATGCTGCACGTACGTGCAAGGATGCACACGCTTATGTTGGTTCAAAAGTGCACCACTATCCACAATCAACAAAGATGCCTTTGCCAGGCCCACATCCTTGCATCAAAGTGTACCCAATTCAGGAATGCACGTTATGTAATCAGACCGATTTGTGCTTTCGATGGCCATTAGGCTCTCCTTATTCTGAAGCAGCGATTTGTGAGGATTGTATTGGAAGGCGGTATGATGTTTTGGGTTGTTTGACCACCATGGATGCTCGGCGCAAGTACCGGATACGTGATCTCTCCGGCCTGCCATGGGTGCCGGATCCGAGACCGTCATACAAAGCACGATACTATCTCAAGTGGAACGTAATTCTGAGAGCGCTTCAGGAGAACAATGGGCCACAAGGTTTCAAAGAGGCCCGTGAAGCTAGGAGTAGAAGAGCGATGGCCCGATTGGAGAAGAAGGAGAATTGCGAGTGCAAATAATAGTGGATGTTGAGACCCACCTGGCCGTCGTACATTACCGAGCAGCAAGCCGCCTCTCGCCCAGGAGCGATGCGACAGACTCTCCGATAGGTGGTCACCTCATAGCGCGCCCCCGCCATCGTCAACGCCCCCTTCCTGCTCTCCACCTGCCATAGGCGGCCGCACGGCGAGAGCACTTCGATGGGTCTTGGAGCGCAGAAATGTTTTGCCTTGTCCCGCCGCCGCACGCCCTCCTCGCCCCACCGGTCGCAAAGGCTCGTAACACTTGCTCCACCACGGCTCATGATCGTGTCGACCTTCTTGTGGCTGTGCCCCATGTCGAGCGCCGCCGCTGACAAGCACTCCCAGGGCTCGAGGGTTCCTCGGTGGGTGCAGACAACTTTCGAGTCCGGCCGACGGCAAATGGGGTCGTTGCACACCAAGAGCCTCCTCTCCCCCGCTTCCCGCTACGCGACCCTCTCGGTGCGTCTCTCAGCGAGGACCCGAGTCGCCTCGCTCCTACCTCCATCAATTGCACGTTCGATCAGAGGCAAGGCTTGCTTCGAGAGCACACTCAAAAGGTGCCCGCACCGCTCCGGCCCCGCGCAGTTGACATTGCTGCATTGCGCAGTCTCTCCTCCGAGCACGCAAACCACGGGCTCCTCTCCAGGATCGCTCACGACAAACACTCGAAGCTGTGGCCCGCCCTTCCACGCCTCTGCATCTACCCCACGGAGGGCGCCCCCCACGCACCCCCCTTGTTCCCAGGGCAACACCCAAGGCACGCCGCTTGTGACCTCTCGAACGAACGGACGGCTTCCGTCAAAGGTTGTGAAGATGGCCTCCCCGCCCTGCCACCAGCCGCCTATAGAACGGGTCCCCTCCAGGAACCTCGTGTCGTGGTCACGGCACGCCTTTTGACCACAGAGGCATTGAAAGTTGCCCGTGTGGTCGACCTTGACGAGTCGAGGGACATTAATGAGGCCCCGTTCGGTTGCAGAGACTTCCAGGAGGCGGCCGCTGGAGACGTCGAGCAGGGGCACAAGAAAGAGGCCGGGAGCAACCGCAATTGGTGGAATCTTGCTTCGTGTAAGCTCCGAGAGGAGGGCCGCCATGCCGAGCTCCCGTGGACTCGCCCCCTCCTCGAGCGTTCTCTTCACCCCCCGCTTCAATGGAGCAGCCGTTCTAGATTCGCGGCAGTATGGGCATGCGGCAAGGTCCCTCCTCTGGACGAAGAACTGGTAGCCGCCCTCGCTTGCCACCTCCCTTGACTGTACCTCTCGAAGCTCTTTTGTCTTGGGGAACACTTCGTACTTGGTGAACAGCTCCTGCTGGGGGACAGGGCCCCCGGTCGCGCTCGAAACAAAGGGGCGCCCAGCTTTGTACTCGGCCTCCACGCACCGCAAGCACAGTAAATGCCCTCCTCCACCTCGGCAGATGAGTGCCCCACCCCGGTTTCGTTTCCTCTCCCAGATGAAGGGTTCGCTCCCCCGGGCGTAGACCGCCCCCTTTCCTCCACAGGTGCGGCCGATGCACGTCGAGCCAAATCCGCCCCGAGCAAATGCTCCGGCAGGCCGCAAGCTGAAGGCGAGCCCGTAGTCGAACATGAAGTCGGCGCCCCCCTGCTTGGCCGCGTAGGAGGGGCGGCCCCCTCGCACGCCTCCAGCATTTGGCAGGGGCGGAACTGCGGCCGGGACGCTCCTGATGTCGCTGG